CACGTGACACTTCAAACTCGACTACCACCACATGCTCACAATTTTATGTTTTAAGTAATTTTTATTGTTTTTGTTTTTAGTTGGAATATACTTTTTCACCTTTTTCATAGCCACTTGAGTCTATGCACCTTTTTCTGCTAATAACTATCAAGTTCTTAATCGTGCAATTTTTACTCTTTCTGAGTTTTGTTTCATTTTGGTTTTACATGTTGTTGATCTTAGATAAGGGTTAAACAGACTAGTGCCGAATGTCAAGTGTGCCAAAGTGCATAGCGTACACATACACGGATTGTCTCAATTGCGGATTAAAATGTTATTTCTGCACTGTTGATATGTTAATTAATTTTTGAAAATTTTCATTAAATCACGTTCAGTTCAAGTATACTATAGAATTTTTTTAAAAGAAGAATTTTAAACGAGACTTTTTGTGTTCAAATATGCACTTAATGGCGAAATGAGCATGTCAGGTTCCATCTTAAGCCCCCCTAATAATTCCAGCCTAAATATCAAGCGAAACAACTCCTTCAAGCACGTGCTTCTTTAAACTCGGCAAGCAACTTAAAGAAAAAGGCATATTTCCCTCATCATTCCTGTACTTTTATAGGCCACAGAAACGGGAACGTTCCCGAAGAAAAATCACAAAAAAAGCATTAGGTCCGGAATCTATATATATAATACGCGAAGACATTTTTTGTTCAGGATAAACGATCTGCACCGTTCGCTCGATTTAAAAAAATTGAAGCCTGTAGATGTGCAAACTGGTTTTATATTTTGGAAAAAATTTGCCACCTGTTTAAAAATTAAATTCAAATTATTTAAAAATCAATGCCATTATATCCGCACTGTTCTTTCGATTTTCCAAAATGAGGTGTCAAATTAAGGGGCTTAGACTGCTGGCATGGTTTTACTTTTTTGAAAAGAGTTGCCACTTTTTAAAAAATTATATTCAAATTATTAAAAAAATAAATGAATTATTACAAAATGGGTATCAACCGAAATGGTTTTGAAAAGCTTTGTTTATATGCTGAACTATAGGAGGGTTGCCACCTGTTTAAAAAATCATATTAGTTAAAAAAAATATGTATCCCCATATGGGTACCAAACCAAAGGGGTTTCAGAAAGTAGTAGTTTGAAAATATTTTGAAGAGGATTGCCACCTGCTTGAAATGTCGAATTTAGTTTACTTATATGCGAATTTAGTTTACTTATATGCAACATAAAAATATGGATTTCAAACGAAGGAGTGTCAAGAAACCTTTAGTTCGAACGCTAAGAATGTTTTTCAGGTGGAAGAGGGTTGCCACCTGTTTAAAAAGATAAAATCAAATTATTTAATAAGTTTAATGAATTATTAAAATATGGATATCCAATCGAAGGGGGTTTGAAAAACTTTTATTTTTGAACTGTAATTTGCGGAGTTGCCATATGTTTAAAAAATCAAATTCCACTTAATTCATCAGTTAACTAAAATATATATCGCAATGCCAGGCGAAAGAGAGAAGATTTTAGTTTGGGAATACTTTTGAAAGGGATATTCATAAACGAGAGGTAAAATTAAAGACCTTACCTGTAGATGTGTGGTAAAGTTTTTACTACTTTTTAACTAAGAACTTTTTTCATCGGTACAGAGTGATTTGAAATTTGATGAAATTGAAAACATGCACTGTTGAAGTGTAAGAACTGCTTCTGCTTACCAACAAAGGATTTAAAACAAATAAAGCAAAGACGTTTGAGTTGTATAAAAATGTATTATTAAGGTTTCTACTTTTACAAACACGTAAGCGCGTAACTTGTACTTTTAAACATAAAAAATATATATATATATGAACTGCAGTCGGTAAGTGCTTAAATAGTCGTAGGTTGAACGCTGAAGGTTTTAGCTTGAAGCCTGCTGTTGTTGTTTTACACTTGTGTTGCTCGTACGCTGTCTAGAGTCCTTATGTCATGGCCAACGAAAATATATACCAAAGTTGGTTGCAGTTAAGGCGTATTAAACCTACATTTTGATTGCAGTTCTTATTCGCGGTGTTGCCACTTTCAGCAAACTACCAGGGTTGCTAATACCCCGCCTCACAGGATTCACCACCAACTTCTAACTTTGCGAAAGTGGTCTGCGTAGTAGTCCGCTCTTCGTTCGCACCTCCACGATACGTACTTGTCCGTCTTTGGCGGGAAAAACTTGAGTTATGCGGCCGCGTACCCATTGACTACGGGGCAGCGTTGAGTCGCACAATATCACAAGATCGTTCGCTTGAAACGGTATTGCTTTGTCCTGCCACTTAGCTGAGGCAGGTACTCGGTTGTCCATCGCTTCCACAACCGGTCCTTGAGGTTTTGCGCGATTCTCCACTGCTTCCTTAGGCAAATCTTTTCGTCAACTGGGTGCGGCGTTTGCGTTGAATTAATGCATCCCAACAAGAAGTGATTGGGTGTTAACGGCTCATCTTCTTCATGGCTTATAGGCAGGTCAGTTAGCGGTCGGGAGTTGATGATATTCTCCGCTTCTATTAACACGATGTGCAGAGTGTCGGGTCTTGGGGCTACCTCACGCAAGGTCTTGTTTAACAGCGACTTTATAACCCTTATCAAGCGCTCCCAGCAGCCACTCGAACTGGGGTTCAGCGGACAGTTAAATATCCACTCGATGTGTGTCTGCCAGCCTCGGCTTGAATGCGGTCAGTGTCTAACAACTGCTCAGCTGCCCTCAACTCCCTTTCTGCGCCAATAAAAGTTGTCCCATTATCGCTCCTTATTCTGGACGGCGTTCCACGTCGGTTTACAAAACCACAGGCATAAAATGAACGCATCGGTACTCAAGTCGGTAGCTCTATGTGTGCAGCTCGAACTGTCAGGTAGGTGAATATAACGCCCCACCTTTTCTCCTTGCGCCTCCCGATGGTGACGTTAATAGGGCCAAACAAGTCGACGCCTGTGTATGTAAATGGGCGCACGAACGGAGTTATGCGGTCGACCGGCAGCTGACCCATCATAGGTTGGTTTGTCTTTGCTTTGTCGATCATACACTGTTGACATCTATCCTGAACTGCTTTGAGGAGCGGTTTCAAATTCGGTATCCAAAACTGTTGTCGGATGGCATTAATGGTGATTGCGGAATTCTGGTGATGATTTATTTTGTGAAAATGTTGTACAATCAGGGTTGACACGATATGTTTGGCAGGCATTAATATCGGTCGTCGTGCTTGCATTGGTAGGTATGTTGCCTCGTCGATGCGTCCGCTCAATCTTAATAGGCCACTTTGGTCGATATACAGCGAAAGCTTATACAGCGAACTTCTTTTGGCGATTTTACCGCCGACTGACAAACCTGCGATCTCGCTCGAAAAGCATTCTCGTTGGACTAGTTCGCATACCATATGCTCTGCTTTCTTTATCTCCGTTGCTGTGAGGCTTGGCGACATGGGTACAACACCTGTTGCTCTGTTTTCGAAATAGTATTGTTGCTCGCATCCCCCAGGCTGTTGTTCGTAATAGCTTTGTGAAGGAGCTAAACCGTGAAAAATTTATGACGGCACTGCCGTGTTGCACCTCCAAAACTGGAACGGATATTTCTTCTGGGAGTACTGGTGACGCTGTGATCGTAGCCGTGGGCCAATACTCTTCGTCGTACTGCAAGAACTCGGGACCTTTTACCCAACGGCTGCTACTGTCGAACTTGGGTAGACACAAGGGGCGTGTTGCTACGTCTGCTGCATTTTGACAAGGTGACACCCATCGCCACTGCTCTTTTGCCGTTGTGCCGAGAATCTCGACTATACGATGGCCGACGAACGCCTTATACTTTCCTTCGGACGAATGCACCCATTGCAGAACCGTCTGGGAGTCGGTCCAAAAAACTGCTCGCCCTATGTTGAACTCGTGGCTGTCCTCGATGAGCTTGTACAAGCGGGTGCCCAATACTGCGGCCTGTAACTCGAGTCTCGGGATCGACATCAGTTTCGCTGCTGCTGCGCGTGTTTTTCCCATAATGAAGCGAACGTCAACTCCATTAATATGAAGTACTCGAACGTATACTACCGCAGCAAATGCGACTTGACTAGCGTCGACGAAAGTGTGGATTTCTACCTTGCCACCATGTAAGATTTGCGGCGAATAACAGTGAGGTATTTTCAACTGCTTCACGTTAGGAAAATCTTGCCACCAGGGCCACCATCTCTTGTTTAGTTCTTGAGGCAGAACTTCATCCCAGCCAATCTCGTACTTCCACGCTTCTTGAATGAGAATTTTAGTAGTAATTAAAAATGCGGCTAACATATCAAATGGATCGAACACCGACATCACGATTCGTAACAACTCTCGTTTTGTCGGAGCTCGTGCTCGGTACAGGACATCTTTCGGCAAACGGTGGAACTTCGTGTGGAGTTCGAAAACGTCATCGTTTGTATTCCAGTAGAGGCCAAGCACTTTGTCCACTGACCCGTTGTGTTCCAGGCTAACCACTTCTCTCACGGATAACGACGAATGATTCAAACGATCTTCTACTTCTTCGCAGTAGGAGACGAAGTTCCGCAACTCGAACCCTGCTTGTGAATTGATGCTGACAATGTCACTGCAGATACTAATGGCTTGTTCAGGCGTGTCGAAGGTTGCAACTAAATCATCGACATAATGCTTGTTAATTATAGTGGTTGCGGCGTCTTGAAACTGTCCTCGATACTCCTCGGCGTTTTTGTTTTTTATATATTCGGCGTTGCAGGGTGAGCGTGCTGATCAGTTGCGCGTATCTTGATTCGCGAAAACATTTCGCGTGTGTCTGCGGACACTCTGACACGTCCCTGGCGAAACTGTAGCAAAATCCGTATCAACGGCTGTGCTTGTTCCAGAGCTGCGAGTTGAGCGACACGTTGTTTACTGCGGCTGCGGCATCAAAGACGATTCGCGTCTTTTCGGGCTTATGCTGGTTGAATACGGCAAAGTGAGGTAAGTACCAAGCATTTTGGTGTGGCTCTCTGGCTTCTTCACGGCTTAACTTTCTTGCATACCCTTTGATCACGTACTTAGCCATCTCTTGTTTGTATCGTGTACCAAACTCGGCATCGTTCTTCATTTGGCGCTCCACTGTCAGTAAGCGTTTTTCGGCCATTGCTTTACTGTTTGGCAACTTCGGTGGATATGTTCTCCATAGTAAACCGGTTTCATATTGCTTGCCTACTCGTTTAGTTGTTCGGCGCAATATCTCACGTGCTCGCTGGTCTTCATCTGACTTAAATGAAACTGCTGGAGGGTTGACTCTAAAGCTGTCTGCTGCGAAGTACTCGTGTACTAAATCGTGTAATTGCTGATATTCTTTCACCTACAAAACACGGCGATTCAATGTTGTAGGTAGCTTGGTTGGGCCGTACGCGACCCAGCCTAGTAGTGTTTTTACAGCTAGCGGGCTGTCGATGTTGGCTTGGACTGTTGCTGAGGTCACACCCAGGTATGCATGCTTTAGCCCGATGAGCAAAACTGGCTTCGCACGACAGTAGTTTTTTATCGGAAAATCTCTCAAATGGTGAAAATTTTCCTTGGCCATAGACTGCTCTGGCAGGTTCAGGTTCTTAACCGTATATACCTCCTTCAGTAGAAACTTCCTCTTCGTCGCGCAATTCTCAACTTCAATTCTTATTTTATGCGATTGTTCCGTAACAACGTTGTTGTCATACCACTGCAGCGTAAGTGGATGCAAGCAAACCTGAGCTCCGATCATCTTGGCCACTTCCTCTTCCATTATTGAAATTGACGAACCCTCGTCGAACATCGCTAATATCTCACGCTTACCTTTCGGTCCATATATGTTGAATATTTTAAACAGTTGACCATGTGCGCTTTCTGTTTCTCGACAATTCAGAAGTGTCTGCGCAATGACATCCTCTCGTGTAGTTCGGCGTAGCCTCTGCATTGTTGCATCTTCGTTGTGGAGTAGCTGGCTGTGATAGCGTTGGCAGCCACGTATGTTACACCTCCTTCTTGCACGACACTTTTGTGTGGAATGCCCCTTGCGTAGGCACGAAAAGCAAAGCTGTTGCGCCTTAACCAGGTCCCACCGCTCTTGAATACTGCTTGCCTTAAACGCATCACACTGTGGAAGCATGTGGTTACCACTACACTGATAGCAAGTAAGTGAGTCCTTTGGCCGCTCAATATGCATCAGCCGACGAGGATTGCCCGATGACTGCCTGCCACTCTGTGCGCTGATCGTCGGCATAAGACAAATTATTTTAGCCAACTCGGTAAGCCACTCAGAAAATTGTTCAACTGATGGATACGGTTGTATAGTCGCAGCATGCTTCGCCCAGTCGAACTGTCGGTTATGCGGTAACTTACCCACCATTTGTTCTAACAATGTTACGTTAGCTAAGTGCTGCTGGCAATTTGCAGACTTAAGAAATGTAACAACATTTCCCACTCTCGAGGAAAACGGTACAATTTGCTCCGGCTTATTGTCGGCTATTGGCGGGAAATGCTGCAGTTTACTGATTTGGAATTTAACCCAAATGTCTGGTCGCCCGAACCTGAACTCCAACTCGCTTATGACGTTCGGCACGTTGCTCGGGTAAATTAGCATGGCGGAGACAGCTTCTTTGGCGGGACCAACTAAGCATTTCTGCAACCTCATAAGGGTTTGGCGGTGGCTGTACCCAAAGGTTTCCGTGGTGTCGCTGAAATTTGCGAAAAATAGCGGCCAGTCTTCGACATTGCCGCTGAACACAGGCAAATCATAAAGATTTACTTGCGAGTCGGTTGGTGCTACGACGGCTTGAGTATTGTCACGCTGTGCTGGCTGCACGCCCTGCTCCGGAATATTCTGTGGTTGCATGCCTTCGCGAAGCCTTATTATGTCTCTTTGGCTCTCCGCAGTGCTTTGTCTAAGCTCTTCTACGGAAGCCCTTAACGCATTCAATGTAGCAATTATAGCATTCGCGCTGTCTTCTGCGGCTGCACCTGGCTGACCCTCCATGCTTTCAAACGCTGATTCTGATTCAGTCCTTTGAATCTCGCTCGTAACACCGGCCCGATTTCGTAAAAAATATCGGTTAGTTTCAGACATACAAAATGGCCTCCGGTACTAACTTTATATTTTTTTCACCGACAGCGTACAAGTGTAAAAGATGTTGAAGTGTAAGAACTGCTTCTGCTTACCGACAAAGGATTTAAAACGAATAAAGCAACGACGTTTGAGTTGTATAAAAATGTATTATTAAGGTTTCTACTTTTACAAACACGTAAGCGCGTAACTTGTACTTTTAAACATAAAATATGTATATATATATGAACTGCAGTCGGTAAGTGTTTAAATAGTCGTAGGTTGAACGCTGAAGGTTTTAGCTTGAAGCCTGCTGTTGTTGTTTTACACTTGTGTTGCTCGTACGCTGTCTGAGTCCTTATGTCATGGCCGACAAAAATATATACCAAAGTAGGTTGCAGTTAAGGCACTCGAATCTCCTTTAACTCTGACTAACATTCGGAATATTTTTTTTAATTTTTGAAATTAACTGTTGGGCGTTTTAACGCCATGCGGGTTCACTAGTTGAAGAATATATTTGCCAGACACAAAAGAACAACTGGCGCAACTTCGCAAAGGAGAGAGGCACTTAGCTCAGTTCTCGTGCTATAATTTGTAAATCTTTCCACCTTCTAAGAGCTATGTTGTGTATCTTCTAAATAGGCTAAAGAAAGTATGAAAACGAAAAAAGGCTTTATTGGACTCTGCATTACGCGAGAGTAACAATCAGCCCTTTCGTTAGCATCACTGCCGTCACAATGTAGAATTCATCGCAAAGTAGCCTCACCTCAATAATTTTTTAACCAAGAGATTAGATACCAAAGATCCTATTAACGGTTCTGAGACACATTCGCCGTCCATCTTCTTCGTTTATAGCCCGATATCTTATCCACCAATTGAAGCTTGAATCCTATCCTGCCTAGAAAGCTATTTGGGAAAAGTCATGTTCGTTCCTAAGATCGCCCTAAAATATTTCGTGTACTCTGTGAGAGTCAGCATGGTGTCACCTAGTAACGAAAAATCTCATGCAGAAATTTTATACATGGAATTGAAAATGGAATTTTTAGCGGGTGGAAAAACCAAATATAATTTTTGTAAGCACTCAGGCACTCAGAGGTAAGGGATATAAACATAGGTAGGGTGAGAATTCATTGCTCCTCTGCAAATTTAAGACACTATTTTATAAATATTGGCAGTTTGTTTAGGGAAAGATGATATATATAGTCCATTATCGATACATCTGAACCAAAAATGTACCACATAAGTCTGGCGAAGGCGGAACAGCTGCAGATTAAATGTTCTGTACTATCCTCGTCCACAAATAACATCTACACGGTGGATTATCGATCATGCCGATGGGGACCATATATCGTCCCCATGGATTGTGCCACGGAATGAGTCCTATGAGGTCTCATAAATCCCTCATTCGTTGTCTGAAAAGGAGTTACGCTACCAACCTGTCAGGTCTTTCCAGAAAACACTAGGTTATATTGCAGGTGTCAGTGCTACACCAACGGCTGTCATGAAATTGTTTATGAGATCCTTGATGTACACTATCGTTCCCGCTATGCTTGGCCCTAAAATCGGCTTCGTTCCAATTGTACGCTTCAGAGCACCGCAGTTCGCCAATTCATCAGCCAGTTTGTTGCCTTGAATACCGTTGTGTCCTGGTACCCATACAAGTTCATGTTCATTCCACCTTGTAACGGAGTTCAGCCTGAACTTAAATTTCTGTACTTTCTTTAAAGAGATGCGAGCGGTTTTCAATGCCTTTGGAGCAGCTTGCAGATCCTGATTTTATGTATAAAACAGTCCACACATCTCCTCATGGATCGCGAACTTAAGAGGTAGCAAATCCAACAAAGCATTACCAGCCTGTCCTGACGTTGTAACCATGGCGCCCGTAATGCCTATACACACGCTCCCTTGTAGCCCGTTTAACATGGAAACCGTGGTTTTGCGTCATCATGCTACAGCGGAATACTTGACGATTGGTCTGACTAAAACTAAGTATATCCCGGATACCATAGCCGGTCACAAACCCCAGGTTTTTCTAAAGCCTCTCCGACACTGTCCGAAAACTTTAAGCGCTCGTTTTACCTTCAGCTCGACGTGAGTTTTGCATGTCACCTTCGTATCTGGAGTTATATATACTTCCTTGTGAAGAATACTATGTTTGAGTAGCCCAGTGTTATAAAGGTTGGTCCAAGATAAATGACCCAAAGTTCTGATTATCATTTTGGTAAATTTCTGGCGTTTTACAAGCCCTAAGCTTTTTAAGATTCTGACGCATATTCAAATAACCACTGACTTCCAAAAATCCCATAGCAAAAAGTCGGGAACTTACAAATCTGATGCCGGCCTATGAATATCACCAAAACGTGATATAAAACGGCCCAGAAATGCCGATCTCAGGGCATTGTGTCTCGTGCTGTGTCTGCTTTTGCACCACATAATTTCTAGTTCCAATTAAGCCAATTGGAGCCGTTCACCGTTTACAGTAATTGCTTGAATGGACTGATGACACCTGCAGTGTAAACATAACATAATATCGACGTATGAGTGGAATATCGACCTATATTGGCAACGGGTTCGAAAACACTTTATATCAGGAAACTTTTCAAGAATGCCCTTTTTCAAAATTTGATTAAAGACCGCCCTATCCCAGAATTTGTTTAAAAAACGTCCTAGCTCAACTGAAAATTTATTGAAGATATGTTGAGATAGGACGTTTTTGAATCCGCAGCTGAGATAGGGAGTTTTTCAACCAAGTTTTTAAACATGGCTGTTCCCGTATTATATGTAACCAAAATGTTCTTAGATTAAATATACTTAAATTTATATGAATGAAATATTTAAAAGTTTTAAGTTTAACATTTTATTGCACATGCAAACTATGTATTATCATTATATTGACAAGCATATTCATAAAGCAACAAAACATCGCAAAGAGCGAACTATTATTAGGTTCATTCGCGTAGCTGTTAATTGTTCATGTTTAACCAAAACTTACAAGTTTTTGCATTCGCGTACGCAAAAAACTTGCAAAGTAGGGGAAATTGAGAGAGCAAAGTGACATTTCATTTTGAGGGGAAGCTGCTGGTTTTTGCTGGAAAAATTTTTGCCAACAGCAATTTGCCAACAGGAAAACAGCTGATCAAAAACAGCTGGTTGGCATTTACGCAAATCACAAAATTGAATTTGATGGTTTGGAAGTTAAAAATTACAAAATGCGACTAATTAAACTTGTAAGAAGTAAGTAGTTATTTGTTTAATCAATAAACTGTGCCAGGATACCACTTTGTAATGAGTTTTCGTACGTTTTAAATTTTACACTTTTGAATGTAAACAAAAATTATATCAGCTGTTCGTCTAACTTGCAAGTTTCTGCAAATTTTCTGTTCGCGTACTATTTTGGATATTTCTCTCTTGTGAGTGAACAGATGACATTTCGCCGGAATTTGGCAGTTTGTTGGTTTCTGTTGGAGATTTTAAACGAACGCACCTATTAATGTTCTCATCAGTTCCTTATTACGCCGTCCTTCTTAGCGGCCCTTTATGTATTTGCTATATCGCTTAAGTTTGACTCTTTCACTTGGATTACGACGGCGAGCAAATGAACACGTTTTACTCTATCTAGAGTAATTTTTCTTAATACTTGAGTCTTTTCATTTGCCTGCGGTAATTAGGGTATTCATATCGCGGCATTTATATTATACGTAACTATTTTATAAAGTAAGTTGTAAATACAGCAATGGCTTTCTTGAAAGTTTTCTGAGATAGGGCGTTTTCGAACTGGCTGCCGAGATAAGTCGATCTTGCACTCAGCCGTAACTTTAAGTGAACGGAATGGCTTTCTATTAATGATATGGCGATTTTTCAAATCATTATTTAAAATATGATGCATTGCGACCGCGAAAAAGCCAATTGTATCATCGACCGTTGTCTGGTTGATGTTGCTGTGTCCGTCTCCACATCTTCGGGCACTGAAGCGATATGTATTCTATGCAGACGAAGCAGCTCGAGGTATTCTACTGTGCAATGAATATGTTCAAATCGAGTTGCTAAATGTCGAGAAGTTGGTGGACATGCGAAAATTATTCCATCCTCTAATAGCGACATACATATGTATATGTATATTTTGGGCCACCTTTTTTAAAAAAGTTGCCAGAATTGCAGTACAATGCGTGAAATTACTCTTTATTTTTGTAAATAGGATCGTAAAAATATTTATACATATGCACATGCAACTTCATTTAAATATGTATTCCATTTGTTCATAGTGAAAGTGTATTTTTTTAGTGCATCCATAAAATATTTCAAATCCAAAATGTATTAAACAAAGTGTGATTGATTTTGACATTGCTCTCATAAGAAACAGGCTATAATGTCAAATTGAAATGAATTGTTAACCCATTTGAAAATTTTTTTTTTCAAAATTGAATTTGTTTAAAAAAAATTTACACAAAAATTTTTCAAGCAACAAATTTTCTTAATAAACGTGAAATTGTTAAGAGATAAACCGCCGAGGAGAGCAAGTAAGTACATTTAAAGTTTGGTAATAAGTAAATATGTTCGACTTTGCTTAAATATTCAATGTAAGGAAACCAAGATGAAACGGAGCAAAACTTTTGAACGGTGCGATGTATGCAATAGAAGTCAGGACGCGAAAATAGTGCGATGTTTTAAACCACCTAGCTTAGACGGCAGCGATGTGGTGTTGTACTACGTGATTCATCTCGCGTTTGTGAAATCCACTTCAAGGAAAGTGATTTTATTTGTTGTCCGTCCGAATCAAGCACTTTCAAACGAGCTCGTTTATACCCAAACTATTTCGCATGAAAAAAATTTAATTTCACAATTTTTAGAGTTAACCTCTCATATAAAATTAGAAACAAAGGTAAAATCATACTTTTATAAGTATCGAATAATGTTTAGGATAAGAAATTTAAATA